CCTTCCTTCTGAGGAGTGGCTGGTGGGTTTGAACCGCCAGCCTTCTGGTTAGCAGTTAAGTGCCTTAGGCACTACTCTACCAGAGCTCCTTTTTTGTGTTTTTTAGGCCTTTCATAACCTTGAAGTCTAATTCAATATAACTAAGGTTCAATTGACAGACTTCTTTGGAATATATTTATGGATTTGCCAAAATAATGTTTCAAAAAATAGTATAAAATGAAGAATTCAGAATGTAGGGTCAGTGAAATCTGGATTCAAATCCCAAGCCTGCCTTGTAATTTAAGGTAACTCATTTAGCCATTCCAACCCTGCTTTTCTACTTGGAAAATAGAGAAAAATAACTATATTTATGATTGTTTGAAGATTAATGAGGAATAAAGTGATATCATAATGCCTAGTATAGAGTATTACTCATAAATGATGATTCTTATATTATTAATATATTAAATATCATTATGAATAGAACAGATACTTTTTTTCATAGTAAAGTAAATTCTGTCACTGCAATCAAATAATGTGGTAGGACAGTTGATTCGCACTTCGAACTCTATAGGTGTAACAGCTTTTAAACAAATAAAAGGAGACTTTAGAAATGAATTCAACTTCTGTGTAAATAAAAACTGATTGTTAGTTTATAGGAGTAAAATGCTATAGGGTGAACACTAAAGGATGACTCCCACTGAGTAAAAGAACTACCCCCCCCCCATTGCTCCCTTCCCTAAATTCCTTATTACTAGCAGCTGTTTTGAGGACTGTGCAGGACTAGGAAGTGTGTTCACTTTGTTGTACTTAAGGTTGCTATAAGTTGGAACCAACTCAACAGATCCTAACAACAATGTAGTTATTAGTTTCAATATTTTGAGACTCAATATTTTAACTTAGTGAGATACTCTATTTGGCAGATTATTGAATCTTAGTGATACTACAAATGTAACAATCATCAGAAATAAACTGGGAAGTTTAACCAAACTATTAAGCACATCTTCTTGCTTTAGAGCAACAGGATTCCCAAGATTAAATGCTAAGTATATTTTACACCAAAAGGAGGAAAAACATCAGTGTTAATAGGTTCAAGATTCAAGTTCCTGAATTTTCATTGAGCCAACAGTGAGAAGTATTTTACTGTGCCAAATCACCATTCCAAAAGAGAAAGAAACAAGAAAAGGGTAGAGAAGGGGAGAAGAAAGAAACGTTGGAGAAAGGAAGGGAAAGGTGAAAAATAAAGTACTGGAAAATAGTATTCAGAAGATCCCAGCTCAATAATATTTCCAATAGCCTTTCACTTCTTCTCTTCTCTTCCTGAATAAATCAGTCTGTGGTTGTTAAGTTTGTGTGTCAGCTTTGCTGGGCCTGCTTGAGTGGCTGGGCAGCTGAATGTCGTATTCCCCATAATGAGACTGGTAATTAACTTCATGGTGGAATCTTCTGTGAGCAGCTGAGTGGCTGCCTTAGGGATGTGGTCTGCTTCCTGTGTATAAGGAGAAGCCTTGGGGAATGGTCTCTAGCTTATCACACGCTTGAATCCTGCATAAAGCCCTGTCGTTGTTCAGCAGCCTGCCATGCTCTACTTACCTTGGGACTTTCAGTGGACTTGAATGAATGGCCTGCTGTGTGATTTGGTAACATTAGGATTGTGCCTTTTTACTTGTTAACCTTGGACTTGTCAGTCTCAGCAGCTAGCAACTGAGTGAAGAAAAGCCTCCAGCTTTAGTGGGCCAGGAATAGAAGGCAGAGCTGAAGCCCAAAGTTAAGGGCTTTCACCCAGTACCTAGAGCCTGGCACTTTGAACTTGGACTTAAAGCCTCCAAACTGTAAGAGATTAAGTTCCTGTTTCTTCAAGCCGTCCCATTTGTTGTATATTCTTGTTAGTGGTACTAGCTAGCCAGAACACAGTCCAAAAGCAGAATTGAGTAGGCAACAATCGTGTGTGTATGTGTGTGTGTGTGTGTGTATCTAGAATTAAAAAGAGATAAACATGACTGTATATATATAAAGATATACATGTATATCTATGCATACATTTATTATTTAGCTCTGTTTGCTGAGAGGGTCTAAAAGCAGTGACTCTCAATAGCCATGAGCACACTTCATGCCAAGATCTTAGTTTCTAAATACCTTCTTCCACTAAAATCACTCAGAACTCCTGGGAGAAAAAGTTGATTCTAGTGCTGGGGCAGCATAAAAAATCTAAAAGAAAGATGGAACATATCATAAGGAAACAGAAAATATTTTGAAGGGACTTCTAAAAACTAATCACAAACAACTTGAGCATCAAAATAAAAATGAGAAGAATAGATTATACTCCACTGAATAAAACAGGAATCTGTAGGTTCTTACTAAAACAAGTAAGTAAATGAATAAACTTAAAGTTTGATGGGGGAATGGGTTATATACATAGTCTGAAAGGTACTTTTTACATGATCAGCATTTGCAGATGAAGGAACTGAAGAAAAAATTCAAGCCTTGAATTACTATATTGAAGGATTCTATAGGCAAAATATTGAATGATGCAGGAAGCATCAAAAGAAGATGGAAGGAATACACAGAGTCACTGTACCAAAAAGAGTTGGTCGATGTTCAGCCATTTCAGGAGGTAGTGTATGATTAAGAATCAATAGTATTGAAAGAAGAATTCCAAGCTGCACTGAAGGAAATGGTGAAAAACAAGCCTCCAGGAATTGCCAGAATACCCATTGAGATGTTTCACTAAACAAATGCAGCGCTGGAGGTGCTTACTTATTTGTGCCAAGAAAGTTTGGAAGACAACCACCTGGCCAGAAGACTAGAAGAGATACATGTTTGTGCTCATTCCAAAGAAAGATGATCCAACAGAATGTGGAAATTATTGAACAATATTATTAATACAGGAGCTCTGGTAGCATAGTGCCTGAGGCACTTGACTGCTATCCAGAAGGCTGGTGGTTCAAACCCGCCAGCCACTCCTTGGAAGGAAGGTTGGGCAATCTATTTCCATAGTGATACCACCTCGGAAACCCAAGGAGGGGTCGCTTCGAGTTGGGCCTGACTTGATGGTGCATATAATTATTAATATAACACGCAAGTAAAATTTTGATGAAGATAATTCAAAAACGGTTGTAACAGTATATGACAAGGAACTCCAAGAAATTCAGGCTGCGTTCAGAGAAGGACGTGAAATGAGGGATATTGATGTCAGATGGATCTTGGCTAAAAGCAAATTATACCAGAAAGATGATTACCTGTGTTTACTGACTATGCAAAGACATTCTACTGTGTGGATCATAACAAATTACAGCTAACATTGTGAAGAATGGCAATTCCAAAACACTTAATTGTGCCAATGAAGAACCTGCACATAGACCAAGAGGCTGTCATTTGAATAGAACGTGGGGATGCTGCATGGTATAAAATCAGGAACGGCGGGCGTCAGGGTTGTATTCTGTCTCCACACTTATTCAATCTATATGCTGAGCAAATAATCCAAGAAGCTGAATTATATGAAGAAGAACTTGACATCAGGATCAGAGGAAGACAAATTAGCAACCTGCCATATGCAGATGACAAACCTTTCTTGCTGAAAATGGTAACTTGAAGCACTTACTGATGAAGATCAAAGACTACAGTCTGCAGTACAGATTCACCTCAACATGAAGAAAATGAAAGTCTTTATAGCTGGACCAATAAGAATCATCATGATAAATGGAGAAAAGATTGCAGTTGTCAGTGATTTTATTTACTTGGATCCACAGTCAACACCAATGGAAGCAGCTGTCAAGAAATCAGGTGATGTATTGCACTGGGCAAATGTGCTGCAAAAGACCTATTTAAAGTGCTGAAAAGCAAAGATGTCTCTTTGAAGACTAAGGTGTGCCTAAGTCAAGGCCATGGTATTTTCAGTCCCCTCATATGCATGTGAAACCTGGACAGTGAATAAGGAAGACCTAGAAAGAGCTAAGAAGAACTGAGGGAGGTCCGGTGGCATAGTGCCAAAGGCATTTTACTGCTAACCAGAAGGCTGGCAGTTCAAACCCACCAGCTACTCCTTGGAAGGAAGATTGGGCAATCTACTTCCATAGAGATACCACCTCGGAAGCCCAAGGAGGGGTCACTCTAAGTTAGGATCGACACGATGGCATTGGGTTTTGTAAGAAGAGTTGATGCTTTTGAGTTGTGGCATTGGCGAAGAATGCTGACAATATCATAGACTGCCAGAAGAACAAACAAATATGTCCTGGAAGAAGTGTAGCCAGAATATTCCTTGAAAGCAAGAGTGGCCAGACTTCGTCTCACCTACTTTGGTCATACTGTCAGAAAGGACCAGTCCCTGGAGAAGGATATTATGCTTGGTGAAGTAGAGGGTCAGTGCAAAAGGGGAAGACCCTCAAGAAGAGGGATTGACACATTGGCTACAATGATGGACATAAGCATAGTGAGGATTTTGAGGATGGCACAGGACCAGGCATTGTTTTGTTCTGTTTTACATAGTGCCTCTGTGTGTTTAAGCCAACTCAGCAATATGTGATAACAACAACAGCAGCATGTGTTTTAGCCTATTGCTATATGTGGACATTGTATAATCTTTCTGCTAAAATTAAATTTTCCTTCCGTAGCCATCTATCCATCTGTTATGTATTGCTCTGTGGAATGAATCATATTTAATTTTTGCTCCAAATATTTTCTTTTTTATTCCATCAGAATCTTGAACTCAATGATGATACTATTCTGAATGAGATACAATTAGCAGATTGTGAACAATTTCAGATGCCTGACCTGTGTGCCGAAGAGCTTGCTGTCATACTTGGAGTTTGGTAAGTTAATGACTCACTTGGTTACTTTGCGTATCTTGCATGTTCACGCTCTTGTATTTCAAGGATATCTTTATTCAGGGAGGTCTCAAGAAGGTCGGATGAATATGGGAATCTTCGAATGCTTATGAAGAGTGACAGGGTATAGTTGGGCAGCAGTTAAAGAGCTCAAGAGTAGGAATCTCCTGTGAATTAGTGCACTCATCTTTCACTTTCCTTCACAAGTGAAACTTCTTTGGTTAACCTTATGTAGGAATAAGCTCTTTATAAAATATTAAAGGTAAGGGAGAGTGACTACTTGCACTTTTGAGGATATTTGTTTCAAAAAATAAAATTACTTTTTAAAACTATTAAACCTTATGTGTGTTGGAAATAGTTTTTTTTTTTTTTTTTTTTTTGTTTTTTAGCTTGAATAGGTCAAAAAGTTATGAGGACAATACAAAGAACTTTTGTGAATAAGTTTCCAACATACTATCTTTCAACCCCTGAATAGTGTTCTTTTCCAGCAAACCAGAGTATCTTTATACATAGCCACAATATAGCTATCAAAATTAGGTAATTATCATTCACGCAGTACTGTCACTAAAATTTCAAACTACAGTCAGGTCTCCCCTGTGGTCCCCGTAATCTCCTTTATTGCAAAAGGATCCAGCCCAGAACATTTGTATCACATTTATTTTCCATTTCCTGTTACATTAGCTTCTGCCAATCTGGGATATTTCCTCACTTTTGCTTGACTTTCATGATCTTGACACTTCTGGAGTTTGCAGCTGGTTACTTTGCAGACTGTCCCTCATTTTGAGTTTTATTTTTCCTTATGATTAGATTCAGTTTATGATTATGATTCTTTAGCAGGGATATGAGGGAAATGAAGTTTCATAGTTCTCATTGTGTCCAAGCAGGTAAAGGACAATTTTGATTTGTGCAATCATGATGATGTTTACTTTGATCACTTGATTAAAGTGGTATTTGCCAGATTTCTCCACTGTAAAGTTATTTTTTCCCACTATGTATTAGTATTTTGTAGGAAGGTACTTTTGTTGTTGTTGTTGTTGTTAGGTGCCATTGAGTCAGTTCTGACTCATAGTGACCCTGTATGCAAAGAACGAAACACTACCCAGTCCTGTGCCATCCTCACAATCCCTGCTACGCTTGAGCCCATCGCTGCAGCCACTGCATCGGTCTGTCTTGTTGAGGGTCTTCCCCTTTCTCTGTGACCATCTGCTTTACCAACCATTGTATTCCTTCTCCAGGGACTGACAACATGACCAAAGTAAATGAGATGAAGTCTGGCCATTTTCACTTCTAAAGAACATTCTGCCTGTACTTCTTTGAGGACAGATTGGTTCGTTTTTCTGGCAGTCCATTGTATTTTCAATATTCTTCACCAACACCACAATTCAAAGGCATCCACTTTTCTTTTGTCTTCCTTATTCATTGTCTGTCTTTCACATGCATGTGAGGTGATTGAAATAACCATGGCTTGGGTTAGGCGTACCTTAGGCTTAAAAGTGACATCTTTACTCCTGAACACTTTAAAGAGGTGTTTGCAGCAGATTTCCCAGTGCAATACGACATCTGATTTTTTTTTTTTAACCCAAATTTTATTGCAATTTGGGTGAAAGTTTACAGAGCAAATTCATCATCCATACAGCAGTTTATATACATTTTGTCTCATGATATTGACTGCAGTCTCCCACAGTGCAACAGTTCTCCTCCCACTTCTTCCCCACAGCCACCTCTTCCCAGTGTCCTTCCCCCTCCATGCACTCTTGCCCCCCCGAGTTGTCTCCCTCTGCATACACAGCCCTTCTGTTCTCCCATGATTGATCTCTCCAAGGAGTGTGTCTACCTAATGTAAATGTTCAGCTCATATGCCTGTCTTTTGTTTGGTTGGAGCCACAGGAGTGAGTTCATTTCCAGACCTGAAGGGCAGCTAGGGGCCATAGTCTCAGGGGCTCCACCAGGCTCTATTAGACCAGCAAACCTGCTACCTTTATTATTATTATTATTATTATGATTTTGAGTTCTACATTATTCTCCCACTCTATCCAGCATCTCCTACATAGATTCCCTCCTAGTGGTTGACAGTGGTAGGCAGCCACCATCTAGTTCTTCTAGTCTCGTAGTCATAAGAGGGTGAGGATCGCGTGGTGTACCACTTCCTTGGACTAATTGTTTCCATGCATCTTTGGTTTTCTTCAATCTTCTTTGCTCTGGATGAGGAGAAGACCCATCGTTGCATCTAGATGGCTGCTTGCAAGTGTTTAAGATCCCAGTCGCTACTTGCCAAAATGGGATGTAGAATGATGTTTTTGTGTAGTATGTTATGCCAATTGAGCTTGATGTCCCCTGTGACAATGGTCCTGAGCCCGCATGTCCAAGTACTTGCTCCCTCTGGGTACCTGGCTGTGGCCAGGAAGTGACTACAACCCTTGTCAGCTCTACTACATACCTGGAAATTCTTACAGAACATACATATATACACTTGTAGAATATGATCTGCCAATCCTATAGGTGGTCATGGGCACATTCCCCCTGCATAGACATACCTAATTGTTCAGCCTGTCCACCCATCTATCCACCCATGTATCAATGCTTGGCATCACTGACAATGCAGTACTGTATGTGCAAAAAGATTCATTTTTGTTGTCTGTACCTCCCATGTACCTCTCTATATCATCCTCTTTCTCAGTGCCACTATGTTGATTGGGCCCATTTGGTACATTGCTCTCCCCTTCACCCAAATCAATACTTGTCTCTACCTATCTAACAGTGTTGCCTCCCCTGCCCTCCCACTCCTGGTAACCAACAAAGAAAATTTCCTTCCATAGATAAACCTTTCCTTGACTTTTTACAATAGCGGACTAATACAATATCTGTCCTGAGATTGAGTTACTTCACTCAGCATTATGTCCTCTAAGTTCATCCATGTTATGTGGTGTTTTGCAGATTCTGCGTTATTCTTTATGGTTACGTAGTATTCCGTTGTGTGTATGTATTCCATTGTGTGTATGTATCATAGTTTGGTTATCCATTCTTCTGTTGGTGGGCACCTATGCTGTTTCCATCTTTTGGCTATTGTAAATAGTGCTGTGATGAACATGGATGTGCATATATCTGTTCTTGTCCGGCTCTCACTTCTTTAGGATATATACCTACTAATGGAATGGCTGGGTCAAATGGTATTTCTAACTTTTTAAAAAATTGCCATACTGCTTTCCACAGTGGTTGTATCATTTGACACTCCCACCTGCAGTGTATGAGAGTCCCGGTGTCTCCACATCCTTGCCAGCATTTGTTATTTTCTGTTTTGTTGAATTTTGCTACTAGTGCTGGTGCAAGATGGTATCTCATTATTATTTTGATTTGCATCTCTCTAATGGCTAGTGATCGTGAACATTTCTTCATGTGTTTGTTGACCACCTGAATATCCTCTTTGGTGAAGTGTCTATTCATGTTTTCTGCCCATTTTTAAATTGGATTACTTGCCTTTTTGTTGTTTAGGTGTTGGAGTTTTCTATAAATTTTAGAGATAAGACCCTTGTCAGATATGTCATTGCCAAATATTTTTTCTCTATCTGTAGGTTCTCTTTTGACTCTTTTGGAGAAGTCTTTGGAAGCACATAAAAATTTAATTTTTAGAAGGTCCCAATCATCTGGTTTCTCTTCTGCTGTTTGGCATTTTGAATTATGCTTGATAGTCTATTTATGCCATATGTTAAACTCACAGCCGTTGAGATGATTCAGCTCATAATGACCCCTCCTTGGGTTTCTGAGCGGATATCTCTACGGAAGTAGATTGCCCAGTCTTCCTTTGCCCCTATTTTTTCCTTGAGGAACTTTATTGTTTTAGGTTTCACATTTAAGTCTTTGATCCATCTGGAGTTAGTTTTTCTGTATGGTGTGAGATATGGATCTTATTTCATTTTTCTGCAAATAGATATCAAGTTTTGCCAGCACCATTTGTTAAACAGACAATCTTCCCCATTTAATGGACTTTGGCCATTTGTCAAAGATCAGCTGACCACTGACCAAAGGTTGATGGATCTATTTCTGGGTTCTCAATTCTATTTCATTGGTCTCTGTGTGTATCATTGTACCAATACTAGGCAATTTTGACTACCGTGGCTGTATAGTAGGTTTTGAGATCCGGGAGTGTGAGACCTACTGCTTTGTTCTTCTTCCATAGTGCTTTGCTTATCTGAGGTCTCTTTCCTTTCCATATAAAATTAGTGATTGGTTTTTCCATATCCTTAAAGAATGTTGATGGGATCTGGATTGGGATTGCATTGAATGTATAGATTGCTTTGGGTAGAATTGGCATTTTCACAATGTTCAATCTTCCTATCTATGAGCATGGGATGCTGCTCTTCCATTTATGAAGATCTCATATGGTTTCTTGAAGTAATCTTTTGTAGTTTTCTTTGTACAGGTCTTTTGTGTCCCTGGTAATATTTATTCCCAAGTATTTTATTTTTTTGGTAGCTATTGTAAATGGTATTGATTTTCTTATCTCCTTTTCAGCAGTCACTTTGCTGGTGTAGAGGAATCCAACTGATTTTTGTATGTTGATCCTACCACTATACTGAATGTCTCAGTTCCAGTAGTTTTTTTGCTGAGTCTTTTGGATTTTCTATGTATAGGATTATATCATCAGCAAATAGGGATAGTTTTGACTTCTTCCTTCCCAATTTGGATGCCTTTAATTTGCCTTTCTTGCCTTCTTGCCCTGGCTAGGACTTCCAATATGGTGTTGAGTAGAGGTGGTGATAGAGGCATTCCTTGTCTGGTTCCTCTTTGCAAGGGTATGGTTTCAGTCCCTTACATTGAGAATAATCTTGGCTGTTGGTTTTGCATAGATGCCCTTTATTGTGTTGAGGAATTTCCCTTCTATTCCTGTTTTGCTGAGAGTTTTTATCAGGAAAATTTGTTGGATTTTATCAAATGCCTTTTCTGAATCTTTTGATATGATCATGTGGTTCTTTTCCTTTGTTTTATTT